TTATCTATAAAAGTTCACCTCCGTGAAGGACAAGAAAGTTTCATTATAATAAATATATATATATATATATATATTTATATATTGTTTAAAAATAAGCTTCCAATCAGAAGAGCAGACAAACAGAAGAAGAATAAAGAATAAAGCCATACATGAAAACTATAAAGCTACAGCTATAATATGGTTTTTAAGTACGTGGCATTATGTAACACTTCCCTAATAATGTGATATATAAGACATTCCAATTAGTTGCTTTCCTTCTGATATTATAATGACGAGGTGGTGTGGACTCATTATTGACTTTCATTCTGATATTAGTTGCTTTCATTCTTATATTATAGGAAATGTCATGACAATGCATTTGTCTTTGTCTGATATAGAAATATTGATCATAACGGAGACCACTTCAAATTTTAAATTGCAGGCCAAAATAATTTTTACTGAAACCTTATTGACCAAGATAATTTAAAACAAAAATATTTATATATTTTTTTACCATTTCTTTTGGAGTGGACGAATGGACGATTCAGGGGTCAATAATAACCACACTTTGTTAGCTTGTAAAAAAAACATTAAAAAGTCAAATTTACCTATTACCCACTTTTTCGAATTTGGCAGGAGTTCAGAATGACGAAACTGGATATAAGTAAAATCTCACCAAAGCCAAAACCTTCTAATATTTATTTAATTTTTTAGTTATTTAATATGTAAAATTATGCTTGGTTACATATTATTAAGAGTATTCGTGCAAATATGGATCAAGCTGATCTCTCCTAAGAGTAATTTTGCTAAGCCTTCTGCATTTTCAGTTATCTTCTATTATTGTTCATTTTCTCTGAGCAACAAATAGAAAATAATATCGTAATTGCTTTCTTTATGTCTATTTCTGAAGTATTTATTACCCTTCACGACTTCTAACACATTTCTTTCTCTTATAACTGAAGTGGAAATGATGTCATAATGCAAAAATAAATCGAGAGAAAAAAAAAGGCCAAAAAACTGATGAGTTATGATGCAGACGTTTAACTATATGAACGTGCAGAATTTGAAGTACTGAAGTTTTATTTTGTTCTGCAATACAAGCAGTACATTAAAAAGAAACAAAAAAAAAAAAAAAAAGGGAAGAAAAGGCCAAAAAGCAGAATGCTGCCTTAAATGGCATCACGTCAACCATGCTTAGACCTCTTTATGTTCAGCTCCTATATGTACCAAACCATGATATTCTTTCTACAAAACTGTCCATAAATCGAAAGTAAGCATCTCTCCAAGGTCTTCTCATGGCAAACATGACATAAGGAACTAGAGGTCCTGCAGCCAACCCCAACCCAACACTCAAATAAAACCACTTATCAATGAAGTTGCCATCATCGTGGTTTTCGTTGACAACCGGCCCCTTGTTCAGTTCATCATCACCCGGACAATTCACAGCAAGTGGAGCACCACAAAGTCCTGGATTCCCGGCAAAAGAAGATTCGTCAAAAGCCATTATGTGACCAGTATAAGGAATCATACCAGAAAAACCGTTGTTACACAAATTGAGATACCCCAGGAATGAAAGTGATGACAAGCTTACAGGAATCGGACCCCAAAGCCTATTACTTGAGAGATCAAGTGATAACAATTGTCCCATGTTTGAAATGCTAATGGGAATGTGACCACTAAAATGATTTTGGGACAAGTTCAGAACAACCAAACCAAGTAAATTTGTGATTTCCTCGGGAATATCTCCATTCAAATTGTTGCCAGAGAGGTCCAGGCTTGTTACAAGAGATAGTGTCTTCGTGTATGTCAGAATCTGGCCTTCCATATTCACCAACAATTTTTCTTCATAATACTTACCCCCTGTAGTTACCATAGAAAAGATACCGGTGTCATGGCTTTGAAATCTCGAAAACTAGCAGGGATGCAGCCATTGAACAGATTTTCTGCCAGGTCCAGCACTTGTAATGAGCTTAAATTTGAAAGCATAGAAGGCAATTCTCCGGAGAATGAGTTTGACCTCAAGCTTAGAATTCTTAGATTTTCAAGTCCTTCTTTCCCAATCCATTGTGGTAGTCTTCCTATTAGTCTGTTGTTTCCAAGATCCAATGTCTCCAAACTTGACAAGTTCTTTAAAGATGATGGGATCCTTCCCGAAAGCTTGTTGCCCCCTAGATGCAAGGTTTGGAGAAACCGTAGTTTACCCAAATAGGCCGGAATATTACCAGATAAATTGTTGTTACTGAGGTCCAATACCTTTAGGAAAGAGCAGTTCCCAATGCTTGCTGGGATGTTTCCTAGTAATTTGTTGCTTGAGAGATCAATGACTTGAAGGAATTCCATGCTGCCGAAAGAAGCTGGGATTTCTCCTATTATCTGGTTTGTAGAAAGACAGAGGAAGCCCAAGTTAGGTAGGGAAGAACTTATATTTTGTGGAATAGGCCCTGAAAGTTTATTGTTGGATAGATCAAGGACTCCTCCTCCGGCTGCTCCCACAATTGGGAGAGGAATAGGCCCTTCGAAAAGGTTAAAGCTCAAGTCAACATCTGCAGAGGGAGATATATTTAGTGGACTTGGTAGGTGACCTTTTAATTGATTAAAGGAAACATTCAAGAATGTGAGATTTGAGGAGATTTCATCCCAAAACCAATAAGGAACAAAATCGGAAATGCCGGCATTTGAGAAATCCAAGAAGTTGACCTCCTTTTGTGTTCTAAGCCAAGTTGGAAATGAAGGACCAAGATGGCATGAACCCATTCTAATACTCCCTGCTTGGAATGGAGGGACCCAATTCGAACTGACATTGAGCATCAAAGAGTTTGAAAAGAGTTTTAGAAATCTCAACTTATATTGCTTTAGAAAATGCGTTTCATTGACTACCCCGGTCAGCTGCTTGAAAGAAACATCAAAGTAAGACAATTCAGAAAGTTGCCCTAAACTATATGGGAGAGTCCCATTTAGTCTGTTGCCTCCTAATGCCAAACCTGTAAGATTTTTCAGTGACCCTAAAGAAGCTGGAATCGGGCCATATAGCAAGTTGTAGCTCAAATCAAGTTCAGCTAGACTCTTAACTTGACCCAACCATTCTGGCAATTTACCAACCAATTGATTGTTTGACAAATCCAAGTACTGAAGACTAGGCAGTGGGCTCCAAGAATGACAACTTTGTGTTCCTTCAAGGAAGTCAGGTAAGGCTCCAGTCAAGTTATTACCTGATATACACAGAAATTTGAGGTCACAGAGCTTTCCAATAGAACTTGGAATTCCACCCTCAACATTATTGTCAGAAAGATCCAAGTAAGTGAGAGATGTCATGTTTCCAATGGAAGAAGGAAGTTTTCCATGCAGATTATTAGAAGCCAAGTCAAGAACATTTATCTTTTCCCATCTTCCACTGAACAACTGAGGGCAACTTGCTGTGAGGTCACTGTTCCGACGAAGACTCAAAAACTGCAAATTTGGAAGCTCACTAAAGCCAAGTGGGATCCTTCCATGCAGGCCACTATTGCTCAAATCGACAGTTACAAGGCTGCTAATATTGACAAGCCAGTCAGGTATTACCTTGAAAGTGTTGAAACTCAAATCCAGATGTTTCAAGGACCTAAGTTTTGTCAATGAAGGTCTTATTTCCCCACCGAGGTTGTGGAGATCAACTGTTGAAACAGCCCCAGCTTTGTCACAGCTTATTCCCCACCACTGACAACAGTTGCTCCCTTTCCATGACGAAAGCCGGCTTTTGGGATCTTCAAGACCAGTTTTGAAGTCGAGAAGAGCTCCTCGGTCGGACTCCAAGCAATCCATCAATTGCGCATCAGTATTGCTAATGAACTCTCCTGATATAAGGAAGAAAATCAGCAGCATTAATCAAAGCATCGTAAGGCGTTCCATGAATTTAACTTTCTAAGCACAATTGAAAGCCAAGAAAGTTTGATAAACCAGACAGAATGAAGCTATGCATGAAAAAAAAAGAATATATATATATATATATATATATATTTATAGCTAGAGCTATAATATATAGTTTTGTATTAAAGTTCATATGAAACGCTTCATTAGCTATGGTTTAAACACTTCATGCATTCAAGTCAATGAAGAAGCTACATAGGAAATATCATTTGGTCTTTACGTGATATTGACAGGGCCGGCTCAGCCCCATGCCAAGTTAGGCAATTGCATGAGGTCCCCCCAAAATAATTATGGCCCTCAATTAAGCTCCTAATTAATTTTAAATGCCCCTCATTAATCATGTTTGACCTCTTTAAATGCTCCAAAGCTTTTCTTTCAATTGACTATTTTTTTTAGAAAATTGCTTTTATTATTTACATACAATAGATATTCATGTATTTATTTTCCTATTTTGACATACTGAAGTGACATTTTTTCAATTAAGGTACATCCCTAAATAGTGCTGAACTTTCGGGCGACGGGCATGCCCGATACCCAAAAATATTCGGGCACGGCAGGCAGGCCCCTCTCGCCGCCCGAAAATACTTTTCTTCGGGCACAGGCTCGGGTAGCCCGAAAAGAGTAAGCCCCCCCGACAGCCCGCCACCGTGGAGAAGCCGTCCCCCGCCGTTCGCCGGATTTTTTTTTAATCTTCCGGCAATACTCGAAGCTGCCCGAATCTGTGCCCGAATTTTTTGTGACCATTGCCCGAATTTTGGTGACCGTTGCCTGAATTTTGCCCTGTGCCCGAAAAATGCCCGATTTTTTTTTTTACCGTTAGCCCAAAAAATGCCCGAATTTTGAAAAAAAACGGTCTTTTGCCCAAACCCGAACCCGAATTTTGCCCGAATTTTTTAACCCAACGGCCGGATTTTGTGCCGTTGCCCGACCTGCCCGATTTTTGCCCGAAAATTTTGTAGCCGTTGTGTGACGACCCTCCTATGAGGCCGCCACTGTAACTTAAACTTTAACTTGTACTTACTGGGATTTCTTAAAATTTGAGGAACATTTTTTTTTTTTTTTTTATATAAGAAGAAATACTTTCATAATTCATAACAATAATTTCAAAAGGATGAATTACTAAATTTCTTAAAGTTTTTCTTAATTTTAGTTAAGATAAAACCTTCTAAAAATATCCTTCAAACGGAGTAGCGTTTGAACTCTTGTTTCAAATACTCTTTAAAAGCCTTTCTAAAACTAGCCAATTCAATCGGGCCATCTCATTTGACTTTAAAATGGATTTCGTGAGAAATCTTAAATTCAAGTACATCTTAAAGTCCTTTTAAAATCAATCATTTAAATCGTCATGTTTAAAATTTATTTATTTGTTGCATGCTCTGTTGCAACGTTCTAAAACTTAAATACTCAAAACGAGGGTTGTTAGCTACAACCTCGGTTTCCTTAACATACATATGTACCTATACTTTTT